CAAAGACCTCAACATAAAGCCAGCACATTGACCCTTTTAGGAGAAAGTGGGACGTACACTTGAATGCATTGGCACAGGAGACCACTTCCTAAATATAACCCCAGTAGCACAGACACTGAGAAACAATTAATAAATGGGACCTCCTGAAACTGAAAAACTTCTGTAAAGCAAAGGACAGGGTCAACAAGACAAAACGACAGCCTACAGATTGGGAAAAGATCTTCACTAACCCCATATCAGACAGAGGTCTGATCTCCAAAATATACGAAGAACTCAAGAAATTGGTCATCAGTAGAACAAATAATCCAATTTTAAAAAATGGAGTACAGACCTAAACAGAAAACTCTCAACAGAGGCATCTAAAATGGCTGAAAGACACTTAAGGAAATGTTCAACATCCTTAGTCAACAGAGAAATGCAAATCAAAACAACTCTGAAATTCCATCTTACACCTGTAAGAATGGCCAAGATCAAAAACACTGATGACAACTTATGCTGGAGAGGTTGTGGGGTAAGGGGAACCCTTCTGTATTGCTGGTGGGAATGTAAGCTGATACAGCCCCTTTGGATGTCAGTGTGGCGATTTCTCAGAAAATTAGAAAACAACCTTCCTCAAGACATAGTAATACCACTTTTGGGTATATACTCAAAAGATGCTCAATTGTGCCACAAGGACATGTGCTCAGCTATGTTCATAGCAGCTTTGTTTGTCATAGCCAGAACCTGGAAACAACCTAAATGCCCCCTCAATCGAAGAATGGATAAGGAAAATGTGGTACATTTACACAATGAAGTACTACACAGCAGAAAAAAAAAATGGCATCTTGAATTTTGCAGGAAAATGGATGGAGCTAGAAAACATTATTTTGAGTGTGGTAACTCAGACACAGAAAGACAATTATCACATGTACTCACTCATAGGTGGTTTTTAAACTTAAGCAAAGAAAGCCAGACTACATACCACAATCCCAGAGAACTTAGACAACAATGAGGACACTAGGAAAGACATACATAGATCTAATCTACATGGGAAGTAGAAAGAGACAAGATCTCCTGAGTAAATTGGGAACATGTGGACCTTGGGGGAGGGTTGAAAAGGAGGGGAGATGCAGGGAGGGGAGCAGAGAAAAATATAGAGCTCAATAAAAAATTTAAAAAAAATCAAGCATTTAGAGATTAAAGCTAAGGGAATAAAAAGTACAATAAACAAAATGTCAAAATTTTACCAGGGCCAAGGGTGGGGACACACATGTATAATACCAGCACTTAGTGGATGAAGGCAGGAGGAGCAGGAGTTCAAAGTCAACTTTGGCTTGATAGCAAGTTCAAGGCTAGCTTGGGCTGCATGAGGTATTCATCTCTAAACAAACAAACATAATCTTTGACAGAAGAAATACATGAAAGACAAAGCAACACCTCTCTGAAAAGATTTTTATTTTGTTTTCGGTATGATACCTCTCTGAAAAGAAAAGATAGAAAAGGACTAAAAATTAAGGGAAGAACAGCTCAATACTAAAAGTGTCCCAGAAAGAAATAGATTACCAAAAATAAATAATACAAGAACATTTCCAATAACTGAAAAACATGAGTTTCTCGATGAATACAGCCCAATGAATGTCCCCAAAATAAAAAGAGACCAAGGCACATAGTTATGAATTTTAAAGTTGCCATAAAAGAGGAAACAGATTCCTAAAAACTTCCAGACTATTTAAAAGGTCACATTCAAAGCTGTCAGGAAAGGGATGGATATGGGGCATCTCAACAGCAATGTTGGAAACTGGTAGACAATGGGAAAAATGCCTTCTACATTCCAAGGGTGACTGAGTACCAAATCACACTACCAAACTTGTGTTAAGGAAGAGTAAAAACATGTTCAGACAGACAGTTTACCTCAATGTGCCCACTTTGGAAAGATTCTTGAGGGTGTGCCATATCAAAACAACAACAAAAGATAATCCCTCAGAAAGTACCATGGAATTCAGGAAACGGGAAGCCTCTCTATGACAACTTCAGGGAAAGCTTAGGAAAGTATCCAGTCTCCAGAGAAGCTGGTGGTGGTGCACTGGCTGGTTTTGTGTATCAACTTGACACGAGCTAGAATCGTCAGAAAGGAGGAGCCTCAGTTGAGGAAAGGCCTCCATGAGATCCAGCTGTAAGGCGTTTTCTCAATTAATGACCAATGGGAAGGGCCCAGTCAATGGTAGATGGTGCCATCCGTGGACTGGTGATCCTGGATTCCATAAGAAAGCAGGCTGAGCAAGCCAGGGGAAGCAAACCAGTAAGCAGGACTCCTCCATGGCTTCTGCATCGACTCCTGCCTCCAGGTTCCTGCCCTGTCCGAGTTCCTGTTCTGACTTCCTTCAGTGATGGACAGCAATGAGGAAGTGTAAGCCAAATAAACACTTTCCTCCCCAACATGCTTTTTGGTCATGGTGTTTTGTCACAGTATTAGAAACCCTAACTAAGACAGGTGGAGAGGTTACAGATCTGGAAAATAGATGATAGATAGATAGATAGATAGATAGATAGATAGATAGATAGATGATAGGTAGGTAGATAGATAGATAGATAGATAGATAGATAGATAGATAGATAGAGTGACAGGGATAAGCTTCCAAAAAGTCATATTCTAGAAAGAGGCATCATTAAATGTAATCATTAGATGTAGAAGGCAAGAGATGAGAGAAAACCAGCCAAATTAAAAAAAAAAAGTGTTAGCTAGGAGTTAGAGAGATGACATTGTGGTTAAAAACACTGGTTGCTCTTCCAGAGGGCCTGGGTTCAGATCCTCACAACCATCTGTAACTGCAGCCCCAGCAGCTCCAATGCCTTCTGACCTCCACAGTCACCGGGCCACACATGATACATAGATACACATGCAGACAAACCCTTATATACATAAAATAATTTTTAAAAATTTTATTTGAAAAGTTTCATCTTGAAAATAAAGTTTCATCTTCTATAATATTTGATTCAGAAAAAAAAGATAAGCACAAAGCCATAATAATGAAAATATTTAATATGTTCTTGCTATGGTTTGAATGTGAACTGTCCCCCGTGGGCACTGTTTGGAGATGTTAGGGAACCCTTGAGCTAGGGAAAGAAGCTGCATGATTTAGGGTTGAAAGCAGTTGTCTCGAGAGAAAGGAAAAGGTCACTTAGCATTCTACTGTTGATGTCTTAAATTTTTCCATGTCTTTGAACCTCAGCTCTGTAAGCAAATTCTGGAAGGACACAGGAGCATGTGCATGAGAGATACACAGTGTCTGAGTCCAGTGTTCTTTGTCACCCTCCTTGTAAGTAGCATTCACACTTCTTCATGAGCACAGAATCCTGATAGACCCCCACTGCATGTCTGGAAGCCCGTTAAAAGGGAAAGCAAATCCAAGCAGATAAGAGGGCCATGCCTACAACCAAGAGAGGAGCATGGACAGCTCTAGGGGCTGTACTGTCCGTCAAACCCAGTCTTGCTTCTGAAGAAGGAAAAAGCACTGGTCCTAGAAACAGAACCAACTAAGGAGCTCCCCTGTCCCTTCTTGCTCTGCCCTGCCTCAGCCAATGACTGTGGGGACAATGATGACACAAGAGGAACAGACAAGATAGGACCCATAGCGAGCCGTCTTTTCTTTGGGGCTGTTCCTTGTCAATAAGCAGATGGTGGACCATCGGGAATGAATGCGCATGTTGCGGTAACAATTTAGAAAGCAGCCGAGCGGTTTCAGCAGTGGGGATAGTTTCATTCACTATTTCCACTGCCCAGCGAAGATCACTCAGAAAGGCCAGTGGTGCAGCTGTGGTCACGCTGCATGTTAAAAGCTGACATCGGCACTTAAAATAAAACTGGCACCAGGGGATGGACATGTAGCAAAGCTTCCAAGAACAAGCCTGGCCATGTTTGAGGCCCTGGGATTGAAGAGCAGTACCACAATACCTGGCCTGTACAAAATGAAAGTGCATAGTAGGATGCGTGCTGAGAAGTTGGGCAGGGGCCCGGCGAGGTGGTTCAGCAGGTTAAGTGGCTTGCCATGCAGACCTGCCAGCCTGAACTGGACACCCAGAACTCATGTAAAGGTGCAAGGAGAGAACTGACTACACACCATAGTACATGCACGCGTACACATACACACACACACTACACACACATACACACACACACGTGCACGTGCATGCACACACACACACAAATATACACACTGATAATTTTTAAAAAGAGTGTGAGCTAGGTGGTGGGAGCACACACCTTTAATTCCAGCACTCAGGAGGCAGAAGCAGATGGATCTCTGTGAGTTCGAGGCCAGCCTGGGTTCCAGGACGGTCAGAGCTACACAGAGAAACCCTGTCTCGAAAGAGGGAGGAGGGGAAGAAAGAGAGAGGCCTTAACTTTAAAAACAAGAGAAGAGGAAAGGGGGAAAGAAAGAATTTAGGGCCAGTAAGATGGCTCAGCAGGTAAAGAAATTTGTCTGACATACTGCGTTAGAACCCCCAGAACATACAAGATGAATCTAGAAAACCCATGCCCACAACTTGTTCTCTGACCTCCACACAGACGTACCCCAGTAAACAAATAAGCGTAAAAAAAAGTTTAGATTTAAACTTCTTTCTTATTTAGAATATTAAGTAGGAATATAAAATAGCTCAACAACATAAGAAACTGAAGAAAAAAAAGCCTTCTATTTTTGCTCCTCTTTGCCTGGTCTCACTGAGCTGTGAAGCTGGCCACCCATCCTGCAGTATCCCCACTGGCCAGCCTCGGCTGCCAGCATCTTCCTGACTCCACAGAAAAACAGCCTCCCTGTCTGCAGTGGATACCCCTCCCTGCTCTGGAGCCCAGAACTTCTCCTCCTGCTCATCCTCTAAGGCACAGCACAGCTGCACACACAGGTGCACAGCCCAAGGGGACCCTTGAGGCCCCCGTCTACCGGGACCTGGCCCTGCATCCCCACCATGGAACAATGACTGCACAGACAGGGCCCGGCCACCAGGCCCAGGGAAGGACTTACTCGAGGAACCTGGTGATGTACTGGCGGCTGCAGCGGGACCAGGTGAGCGGGATGCCTCCATCATACAGGAGCTGTGGAGACATGATGAAAGGCCGTTTCCCAATGGACTCACAGTCATTGCCGGTGCCGTCATGCTGAATGCCAAAACTGTGTGAGAGGACAGGCCCCAGGGGCAGGTGAGCAGCAGGAGGCCACAAAGCCTCCTTCCCATGGAGGCCTGCAAGGGGTACAGTCCCAATTCCCAGGGCTAGCTCTGTCATGCACTGGCTGTGTGGCCTTGAGGTAGTCACACACCCTCTGATGCACAACATGGGGACAACAGTGTGTTCCCTGGGTTTTCCCTCTACGTGTACCAGGCTGGGCCTGAAATGATTTTCTGAGACCCTCAGAACCCCATCCTTGCTCCCAGAACAACCAAGAATGGCAATCCAGGAGACACAGATGGGAGTCTATTGTGGCCCTGCATCCTCCCTGACCCCAAGATGACTTCCGGCTGTAAACTTGAGTTAAGATATCTGTGCTACCACCTCCCAGGAAGGTCTCAAGAAACCATCCCTAGGAAGGGACCAAGAAAACATTCCTGAGCACCAGCTGGGAACCAGGAACTGTGCCAACTACTAACTCACTTAGCCCTCATCACCCCAGAGAGCCTCAGAGAGGCCAAGGAACTAACCAGCGTAACACAGCCAAGAAAGAAGGACTGGGGCCACCAGCACAGGCATGGCTGTCACGCAGCCCAGATCCTCTGACGTATAGAGCTCTCTGGGAACCTGCCATGAAGCCGACTCACAAGCTAACCAACCCTAGCACAGGCGGCAAAAGGTCCAGGCCACGCTACACGGGAGTCACAGACAGGTGACATTACTACATCCAGCCCCCTCTGTCTAATGGGGACACACGGAAGCCCAGAAAGGACATGGCATGGAAGCAGAGTGATAAGAATCAAAGATGCCAGCACCAAGGGCAATAACGGAGGTGGCCATGCTCTGTACCCTGACCAGCCATCCTCACTCCTCTCCCATGACACGCTACAGCTGGGTCTCAGTGATGCCCCAGCATGCCTCTCTCCTGCTTACGGAAGGGCGGTCTTGTTGAGGAAAACAGGGACAGTGCCGGGGCTTTGTGGTTAAGACTGCCATCACAGACACTATTGTTCCCTAGGGTTTTGTGACCCATGATCCTTCCTGGCTGGTGCCCAAAAGTAGAAAGGTAAAGTTGGGCTCCTAACTGGCAGTGGGGACAGTTGAGTTACCTGTGTCCTAGCTCGTGGGCCACGGTGAAGGCCAGGGGCAGGCCAGTGTCCTCACTGACACTACAGCTGAGGTAAGGATGGCACATGCCAGCCACGTGAGACAGGCCCAGGGTTTCACAGGGGTGGTTCATGGCTGCACACAAATCCTTCCTGCAAAGAAAGAGTTGATCACAGGCTGGCTTGGTCTACTGCCAAGAGGGCGGGGGAACCCTGGGCCACCCCAGGTCCGGGGAGAGAGTGTGTCACTTCTCATCACTCTGACATTGGACCCACAATGGCCATATTAGAAGCAGGTACTTTGCTTACACACAACCTTTCCAACACACTGGGACCTGGAAAGGATGTGTATCTAGAACTAACTACGTTGGTACCACTCCAGCTACTGTAGCCCAGTAGAGGGAAGGTAACTCCAGGTGGAATACAACAGCACAGGCTCTGCGCCACAGAGATAGCTCAGTGGGTAAGGGCACTTGTGGCCACCCTGATGTCCTGACGTAGGTCCCTGGAATCTACATCATGGAAGGTGAGAAACAATGGCTACAAGTTGTCCTCTGAGTTCCACACGCATGTGCTGTGGCATGCATGTGCACATACACGCATACACACACACAAATAAATAAATTTTAAAAGTTGGGAAAAATAAAATAAAATAGAGCCCCAGAATGTAGGAGAGAGGGAGGGAACTGTGATTGAAGGCAAGCAGCGTAAGAGTGACTTTGAAAGCCAGTGCTCTGTAAATGGACCCTTGGCCACCAACTTACACAACAGAATAGCGCAACACTACACACACTCTACACATACCATACACACCACACATACTCCACACACACAAACACACACACATATATATCACATACATGCAGCATATACACATATACCATACACCATTCATACACACACACACATGCACGCACACACACACATGCATGTAGAACTGATGTGTCCTGAACACATCCGTCCACTTCCTACTTGTGTTATCTAAACTTCACTGGGAAAGGCATTACTATGGGGAGTTTGGGTGGCTACAAGGTGTCTCTGTATTGCTTATGACAATAACACGAGATTCCTCAACCCTAAGGCCCTCCACCCTTCCTGGTTTGGTAGGTACCTGGTGAGCAGGATGGCAGTATCATGGTGCTGCGGGTGAGCGTCCCCCTTCGTGTTGATGCTCTTCTGCCATTTGCAGAAGCTCCTCAGAGTGTTGTCCGCATGGTGCGTGATCTTTAAGTCCTTCTGGAGACAGAAAGAGTGGTGGCTCATGCCTCATACTGAGCTCTGAGGGACAAGCCCAACTGGCCTCCACACCAAGACAGGAGTCAGAGATCTAAGGGGCAGAGCCACAAGGGTCTCCAGCCTCCACCCCTCTGTCTGTGACCTCAGAAAAAGTGTCTCAAGGGCCAGAGGTGTCAGGTTACTATCAAGGCCAAGGAGGCCTATGCTTGTCCTTCCATGTAGGGCAGGAGAGCTCAGGCCATTACTGGGGACAGCTTAGGACTATATGACTTCTCACCTCCTCATCTTCCAGCAGGATGAGGCGCACGATGGTGATATGAATGGGGTTCCCAATGCTGGGGTCGTGAAACAGGCCAGCCACCTATGCAAGAGGGTGCGAGAGGGGATCAGGCCACAACCAGGATATAGGATATGGAACCCAGTACCCACCCCAGCCATCCAGGAAGCATGCACATCTGATCACACACAAGATCACTCTCGGGGGCACACCAACGGCTCACATTACTGCGGTTATATATACATATGTGCCTGCCCGACTCCATACCTGCACATCTCCACACCTGCACATCCCCACACTGCACATCTCCACACCTGCACATCTCCATACCTGCACGTCTCCACACCTGCACGTCTCCACACCTGCACGTCTCCACACCTGCACGTCTCCACACATGCCTGACTCCACACCTGCCCGTCTCCACACCTGCCCGACTCCAGACCTGCATGTCTCCACACCTGCATGTCTCCACAGCTGCACATCTATACACCTGAACTTCTCCACCCCTGCACTCACACTGCCCCCACCCAGAAGTGACAGATCAGTGGCCACCTCCCTGGGCAGACCAGGTTCAGCAAATGAGGCTTGAATGAGGCCCCTGAAGCAAAAGGCCTCAGAAGCCTTTGATCCCTAAAGAACAAGGAGCTGATGATGATTGTATCCAAATCAGGAAAGGCTACCTCAGAACTACACTCGCTCATGAGGATTTGCACAGTGGGACTGTGATGTTAGCAGGTGGACACCAGCCATACCTGCAGCCCCTTCTTTTGAGCCCCGACTTCACAGCCATACATCCTAGCTGACCTCAGAGGCACTTCCTCTACGGTGGCAGCAAGCGAACCCTGGCCTTGGGGACAGACAGAGCTGTATGGAGATCTTTTCTCCTGGGAAGCCACAAGGATCAGCCTGGTAGCCCCTCAAGAAGAGATCTAGGAAGGAGGTTCTGACCCTATGGTCCCCAGGGGGGTGGATAGATCAGCCACAGTGTCCACTGGATGGCCCTTTGGAGACCCTAGACTGCCTTGCCTACCTCTGTCTCTCCTCACTTTGACTTGCTAAGCCCATGAACCCCAACGTCTCTGTCATCTCAACTGTCAGGTGGAGTCAAGAGCAGTTTGTCCAGCCCACGAGGTGTTCCTGCCCTCTGCAGCTCACAGACCTGCCCAAGGTCACCAGCTAAGCTAAGACACCCTAAAACTAAGCAGACAATCCCATCTCTAAGGCATGACTATGTCTTGGGTGGAGCTATTCTGGTGAGGTGTGTCTGTCCCCAGCACTTAGCACAGATCCTGACATAAAGCAGGAACGGGTTTGTTCTGGGCAGAGCGTGTGAACCAACCAGACCATGTGCTCTTGGGCAGGCCAGAGTCTTCACTCACCCCTCCCAGCAGGTGGCACAGCACACAACTCAGCATTCTGGATAGTCTGGGGCCAGGGAGGGGCATGTGGAGTGTAGCTCAACGTTCAAGAAGCCCTACAACTGTGCCCGGTGCCACAACACTCCTCTAAAGATCCTACCAGGGCTCTGTTTCTCTCTAGTCTTGGAGCCTGGAAACCTCCTTCACACTTGGAACCTGACCCACTATCTGGAAGGCAGTCTGTCAGCATTCCTGCCCATATCTACCCCTGTGTCCCATTTCAATGCCCCCTCCTTTGCCATCCCCCTCCCTTGTAGCAACTGTAGCAACCTCACCATGTTCATGATCGTCAGTACATAGCTCTCCACTTGCGGTTGCCCATGGTACTCTACCATCTTGGCATCCGCCACCACCAGGGTCTCCACCCACTTCTCTTTGCTGATTGATCGCTGCTGCCTCCGGTTCTGCCTCCGCTTCTGCCGCCGCTGTTCCCAACGCTCTCGCCGATGCTCCAGCTCTGGGGACACTGATGGGCAGAGATGGAGTGGGTGAGATTCCCCAGGTACTGAGCTAGAAGGCCCCAATAACACACAAGTTAGTTAGTCTGGAGTTTCCCCTCAGAAAAGAGGGGCAGGAGGCTCCTCACCAGTACCCCTGCTGGGATTGCCTATGGACAGCCCAGCCAGCTGAGGAGGAATGATTGATGGAGTCAGAGACACCCTAAGCAATATGTAGAGAGAGCAGAGGAAGTGTCAAAGTGAACAGAGGAGGTGAGCAGCAACAGGAAGGACACTCCAGGGTACCTGTCAAGCCCATGCCACAAGTTAATGAGACATCCAAGGCTATAGTAGTATGTCAGTTTGAATGCTGCATGCCTCTAGTCCAAGGAAGCTGGCCATGAGGGTATTAAGAGAGGCTTCTAGAAAGGACGTGTTTCTGAAGATCATCCCTAGCCACAGTTCCATAGGGAGGTACATACCTTGTACTCCACAGGTGCCTGGAGCCCTTGAGTGATCCTGCTGGCCCCGCTGCTCAGGGACTTGGTGCTTGTATATCACGTGGGGCTGGGCATGTCCAGTCTGAGCTGGAACTCCAGGCAGAGGCTCAATGAAGTAGTCCTCATTGGAGAGCTGGAACACACCTCTCTGGGGAAGACGCACCAGGGTAACAGGAGGGCTGGTACCTGGTTGCCTTTCCACAGACTCCAGAGGCCTGCCCTACTCAGCTGGGCCCCACCTCCCCAATCTGAACCCACCACAGCCACACAGGGCGGCTCCCTCCTGCTGGTCTATTGCTAATTCTTTCCTCGCCATTCTACACAGCCAAAGACTTCAAAGCAAAGCTCTGGCCCTTACTAGAAGTCTCTTGAAACGTCTCCAAGGATTCTGCTCCACCACCATTGGAAGGGAGAAAGAGATCTGCATCAGAATCTGACAAGATGACATCTTACACAGTCCCAGACAGCCCTCCTGAGTCGTGTGGCCCGTGGCCAGGCCCTCAGGATGTTTTGCGTCTCCTTTGCCAGCCAGTTTTCTCCAGCCACCATGCCCCCTCCCAGCTGGCCATTGCTTCTCATCAACCTCTTCAGTCTCCCTGAGGCAATGAATCACTCCAAAGGCAGCTCTGTCATACCCAAGCCACCCAGTTGCCATGACCACCAAGATATCCTGCTTCTTGGGTTCATGGCTGGCCAGAGAAGTGTAGCTGGCAAAAGCGCTTTGGGTACATCTGCCTGGCATAGAGTTCAGAGCATAGAGGGTCATAGGAAGCATCCAGGCAGGCCACCATCTCTGGAGCAAGTGTGGGACTCCAAGAGAGAAGGTGTCACCTCCTTAAGACGTTCCCACTAGCACCAATTAGACCCCTTGGGTCACACAGAGTACTAGAAAGTACATCTGCTTTAGGGACTACAGATGGGGTTTTGAATCAGCCTCCCTGAATGATTGGGACTTAGTGACCAGCACAAGGTCCTCTCAGAGCCTGTTTCTTAATTTATAGAATGGGAAGGTGATCTCTGCTCAGCCTCCATGCAGGCTCAATGAGAGGAACTACACCTGAGAAGCAGGCATGGGCTCCTAAAGCAGAATACATTACTGCACAGAGAGGGCTCTCAGGCCTATGCAGCCCAATAGTGCATGCCGCTTGTTGCTGGTCCCATAGTTTTCACCTGAGCCATTCTGCCTGAGAGCCCTTTGAAAGCAGTGGAAGACTGTGTGTGCACACCTGCACTCCTGCTATACACACTAGGGTGCTTGAAGTTATGAAAAGCAGATGAACACTGCCTGGAATGGAAGCTGCTTTAGCCCCTGGTAGTGGAATCTCACGGGCAATTAGGGCTGTAGCAGCGGCCAAACTGTCTTAGAGGCTGGCAAAGGGAGAAGAGAGGGATTGCAGGAGACCTCTGGTCTGGGCTCCAAGTAAAGGCAAGGGGTACCTAAGTGAGTCTTCAGACCCCCAAGAAGTATGCACCCAGTGTTTACTTGACCTCTGCAATCTGTCTTCCATATGGGGGTCTCTGGGCAGCTTGTATCTTACCCAGGACATTTTCAGAAGTTCAAGAATTGGGTCCAAACCTTGGCAAAAACCAAGGCCAACAGGTATCTGACTCACTTCAAGCTTTCTGCCCTTCAGGACAAGAAGGTCTGCATTGTCATTTCTGTCTCCTTCATGAACACAGAAGCTAACAAAGGAAAGGTATGTTGGCCGAAGCCACCAGGCAGAGTCAATGTCACGCCAATCCCAGGCCCTCCCCACATGCATCCCAGAGAACTCACTAGGCCATCACAGGCGCTGATGGCTGCAAAGCCACCTTCCAGCTCAGGGTCTTGCACATCACCAAGCAAGTGGCAGGTGGGGGCACGGGTTTGGATGTGCATATGGCCTAGGCTGCTGCCACGCCGGATCTCGCTCACAAAGCCGGGTGCCAGGAGATAAGGGTTGGTGGTCAAGTTGAAGAGCAGCTCCCGCCCTTGGTACTGCAGCTGATAGAAAGCAGACGAGGCCTGGGTGGCAGACACATCTCGCTTACGCAGCACCCGTGGCCACAGCTCATAGGACAGGAAGGAGCCCCCAGCATCCACTCGCACGGGGTGCACAATATCCAAAGCCGTCCGGCCCTCGGTTATGAGACCTGCAGAGAGAAAGCAACATTCGGGTCCGAGGCAGACTCAAAGTTCTAGAGCAGTGGTTCTCAGCCTTCCTAACGCTGCAACCCTTGAATACAGGTCCTCATGTGGTGGTGACCCCCAACCACAAAATTATTTTCATTGCTACTTCGTAACTGTAATTTTGCTGCTGTTATGAATCATAATGTAAGTATCTATGTTTCTCAACGGTCTTAGGCAACCCCTGTCTTCAACCCCAAAGGAGCTGTAACTCACAGACTGAGAACCACTATATTAGATGATCACCAGAGACTAGAGAAGGGGGCAGCTAAGACATGGCAGCTGGGGTCAAAATGCCTAGACTTAAATCCCTACCGCGGCTAAACCTGATGAGGCAGGCTTGTAGTCCCAGCATTGAGGAGTTTCAGGAGACTGAGACCACATAGGAAATAGAAGGGCAGTCCCCACTACACAACAGCACCCTGTCTCAGAAGAGCAAAACCAAACCCCTTTCCATGCTTTTTACCAGCTTTGCTATTTCATCACCCAGTGCCTCAGTTTCCCCATCTGAATTCTTACAGTAACTTTTTATTTTCTGTTTTGTTTGTTTTGTTTTGGAGACAGAGTTTCTTTGTGTAACAGTCCTGGCTGTTCTGAAACTCAGTTTGTAGACGATGCTGGCCTTGAACTCACAGAGATCTAACTGTCTCTGCCTCACGAGTGCTAGGATTAAAGGCATGTGCCACTACTGCCTGGCTTCCTGTGGTAACCCATCTCTCTCCCTGCTTACACCTCAGGAGCACTCTGTCAACTCATTTTCAATACGGCAACCAGAAGGACCTATGATCTCACTCCGCTCTTGTTACTGTGGCTACCCCTGTCTCACTTAAAACAAAATATAATGTTACCGCAGTGGCGCACAAGGCCCTCATCAAGGAGACCTTCTTCAACCACTCCTTGCTTCCCTCTACTGGACTGCCCAGTCCCTTGATGTCCCTCAGCAGGCCAGATGTGTCCCCACCTCAGGATTTTGTTTGTTCTCTGTGTCTGAATAGTCTTCCTTTTGTCTTCTACCATCATTTTTCACCTCTGCTCTGAAGTACTGTGTTGATGTGTGAGTCCCCTCTGTGTGCTGTGATTACCATTAATGAATAAAGAAACTGCTTTGGACCTATAGCAGGGCAGAACTTAGGTAGGCAGGGAAAACTAAACTGAATGCTGGGGGAAGGAAGGCGGAGTCAGGGAGAACCCATGGAGCCGCCACCAGAGACAGACACGCTGCAACCTTGCTGGTAGGCCACGAGCCTTGTGGTAAAATATAAAATAATGGAGATGGGTTAATTCTAGATGTAAAAGCTAGATAGCAATATGCTTAACTAATTGGCCAAGCAGTGATTTAATTAATACAGCTTCTGTGTGGTTATTTCAGGAGTCTGGGCATCTGGGAAACGAACAAGCTGCCTCCTTACAACACTATGTTGTCAGAACAGCCCAACAGTCTTCACCAAGACTCACACCATTTTGAGTACAAATGTCAAGAGAGACTAACTCTACCTCTGTTTATAGCAGTGAGCAATTGCGGTTGCCAGCGCATCTTGAGGACTAGCTTATAACTAACTTATTTGTGCCAATAAAGAAAGAAGCACATGACTATACCAAAATGATGCCAGAAACAGCAGACCTGGAAGTTTGTCAGACCAGGTAGAACCTTCTCATTGGAACTTTAAAGGAGCCCTAAGATTAAGATGTAGGAAGCACACTGACCAACCACCAGGTAGGTCATGAGCCTTGTCTATAAAAACTGTCATGGTGGGGCTTCAGTTCAAGAAGTTTGTTTGTTTGTTTTCTATCAGGGACATATGGCACATTCAAACTAACACTCAAAACCACTGCCACCTGGACCTGCATTTCCTAACTGAGGCCTGAATGATGGGGGAGAGTCTTCTGTTTTGTGTTAATTTCATTGGTTAAATAAAGAAACTGCCTTGACTCTTTAATAGGTAGGCAGAGTAAACAGAACAGAATGCTGGGAGAAAGAAGCTGAGTCAGTCAGTTGCCATGATTCTCCCACCAGACACAGCCGCAGGTTAAGATCTTCCCTGGTAAGCCACCTCGTGGGGCTACACAGATTATTAGAAATGGGTTAGGCTGGGCGATGGTGGCGCATGCCTTTAATCCCAGCACTCAGGAGGCAGAAGCAGGCGGATCTCTGTGAGTTTGAGGCCAGCCTGGTCTACAAGAGCTAGTTCCAGGACAGGCTCCAAAGCCACAGAGAAACCCTGTCTCAAAAAAAAAAAAAAAAAAAAAAAAAAAAAAAAAAAAAAAAAAAAAAGAAAGATCAATATGTAAGAGCTAGCCAATAAGAGGCTGGAACTAATGGGCCAGGCAGTGTTTAAAAGAATACAGTTTCCATGTAATTATTTCAGGCATAAGCTAGCCATGCGGGCCGCTGGATGCTGGGGACGCAGCCCCACGGCTCCTTATTACAACACCTGAACAGCTCTGTGGCTAGTAGTCTTGCCATTCATGAAACTTGCTTGGTCCCGCTTTGAAGATGGCTGCCTCTTTAAGCTACTGTGTGACATGTATACATTTTTGTGAAGTACAATGTGCCAGCAGAGAGTTAATATTAGTAGTTGAGATGAGAATAGGGTCTGGGAGGGATGGCCCCCTTGGTAACGTGCTTACCGTGCAAGCATGAGGACCCAAGTTCAATTTCCAAAACTAAGGTTTTAAAACACCAAGTGTGGGGGCTGGAGAGATGGCTCAGAGGTTAAGAGCACTGACTGCTCTTCCAGAGGTCCTGAGTTCAATTCCCAGCAACCACATGATGGCTCACAACCATCTGTAATGAGATCTGGTGCCCTCTTCTGGTGTGTGGGAAGCAGAATGTTGTACACATAATAAATAAATTTAAAAAATAAAATAAAATAAAAATAAAAAATAAAAAACCAGGTGTGGTTGCTTGTCCTTGTAATCCCAGAACTGGGCAGGCAGGCAGACAGACAAACAGGCTTCCTGACCTAGCCTAATCATGAGGACCACGCCAACAAGAGACCCTACCTCAAAGGAGGTGGACAGCAGTCCTTAAGATGACACCCGAGGTTGTCCTCTGACCTCTGGTCATGTACATACATGCCACACACACACCTATATATTTTTTAAAGAAATAATAAGAATAAAATAACCTGTTTCTTGCAGACTGGAGAGAAGGCTAAGTTGGTAAGGAAACCACTGCACAAGAGTATCAACTTCGGATTGGATCCCCAGAACCCACATATGAAGGCAGGTGAAGTAGCAGACACCCGTAACCCCAACTCTGAGGAAAGGATTATGAAGACAGGTCCCTGAAGGTCATTGACCAACTAGACTAGGTGTATCAATGCGCTTTGAGTTCAGTGAAAATCTCACTCAGTCTTTTAAGGTGGAAAGCAACCAAAGAAAGACAAAATCTACCTGTGCCCTCCACATGCACAAATACACAGACAAGCATACACACATACGTTAACAAGTACATGTCCACCCCACATAATGCAAACCTATTTGCTGATGACCATGAATACCAAGGGAAATATGGAACACTCGGTGGATTACAGCCAAGAAAGTTGATGTCATCTCTTGCATTGTGTCTGTTTCTAACATGGCTCACGCAAGACAGCCTCCTTCAAGTCCTTGCTCAAACATCTCTCTGTGAGGCCTCTCTTGGCCATTTTATTTTAATATTGTGACTCACTGGGTTTCTCTGTCTGCCTTCCCTGCTTTATTTTCTCCACAGCAATGATACGCCCCATCACTTAACACTTTTTTATGTGTCCCTTTGTTCTCTCTCTCTTTCTAATGTCATCACTTCTAGAAAAGTATGCATCTTTATATTGCTTGCTGAGGAATCTTTTTTTAAGGGCTAGAAGTGTTTGGAACTTCATTGTTTTTTAGGAAATATTTGTTGAATGAATGTGTAGAACAGAATAACAATAGAACTTACAGGGGCTCTTCTGAGGGCTGAACGTACTGACCCACCCTACACACAGCAGTGCCTGACCCACTGGACTCAGCAGATATTGTTAGGATTTTTACCAGCCTCATGGATTAGAAAATGTGTCCTTAGCTGCCTGTGGGGTACGCAAGTGTCTGCTGGCCTCCTGGGATGGGGAGAAGGACCAACCAGATGGGGCTATCTGGTGCCTTTCTAGTCCTGTCTCAGTGGAGCACCCTTGACTCTCTGTCTTGAAAAGAGTCCATGTCAAAAGACCTCACTCAGCTCAAGCCCTCGGGGTTTGAAAATCTATCACTCTGTCCCCTTACATTGCCCAGAGAGAAAAAGAGTCTTCATATTGCTTATTAGCTTTCTGTTTTTTGTTTCTCAGGCATCCCTTCTCAGAAAAACATTTGTAAATGCCTAAGATACAAGGAAGACCAAGGAAGTCTACTGTAGGGAGGGAGACACAGCTATCAAAGGAACCTAGAAAGTAGAGCACAGAATTCCATGGTCATTTACTGGTTCATTAAGCAAGGTCTAACCATCGTGTTAGCAACTATAGTTGCTTAGAAGCAGCAATGAGCATCAAGGCTTATTTCAAAGCATCTGCATCAGTGAGACAAGAAACCTATTTGTGGAGCTGGGCAGTGGTGGTGCACGCCTTTAATCCCAGCACTCAGGATGCAGAGGCAGGTGGATCTCTGTGAATTTGAGGCCAGCCTGGTCTACAAGAGCTAGTTCCAGGACAGGCTCTAAAGCTACAGAGAAACCTTGTCTCAAAAAACCAAAAAAAAAAAAAAAAAAAAGAAGAAGAAGAAGAAGAAGGGGGCTGGAGAGATGGCTCAGAGGTTAAGAGCATTGCCTGCTCTTCCAGAGGTCCTGAGTTCAATTCCCAGCAACCACATGGTGGCTCACAACCGTCTGTAATGAGATCTGGTGCCCTCTTCTGGCCTGCAGACGTACACACAGACAGAATATTGTATACATAATAAATAAATAAATAAATATTTTTAAAAAAAGAAATCTATTTGTGAGACTGGAGAGAAGATTCTGCAGTTAAAAGCCTATACTGCTATTGCAGAGGAACTGGGTTCAGTTCCCAGAGTCCACATAGTTGCTCACAACTACCTGTAACTCCAGTTCCAGGGGATCCAACACCCTTTCCTGGCCTCCTCAGACTCCTACACACATGTAATACACATACATACTCTTAATATATGCAAAATAAAATAAATCTGTTGTTGCTGTTTTGTTTTGCTTTTTGAGACAGGGCTTCTCTGTGTAACAGCCCTGACTGTCCTGGAACTCACCCTGCCCAGCTAAACTACTGTGGATCTGAGGAAGGTGGCACAGTCAGTAAAGTGCCCGCCCTGCAAACATGAGTTCAATCCCCAGAACCCACATAAAAACCCAGGCCAGGTGATGCACGCTTGTAATCCCAGCACTGGAGAGGTGGAAACAGGAGGATCCCTGGGTCTTGCTGGCCAGCCCGCCTCGCTAAAGTAAATGATAGACAGTGTCTCAGTGGAGGTGAACGGCATTCCTAAAGATGACACCCAAGGCCTCCACACACATGTGCTAATATTGAGATCCACCGGTAATGTTCTTAATTAAATACTCAAACTCCATAAGTTAAATGTGGTGGCCATATTCATAATTAAAGAAAGTGCTAAATATCACTTGATGTTATAAAAACTGTAGGTGTAATATTTTCCAATCCAGGTTCATAGCTTCCTGGGATTAGGGGTCCCTTGGGCTGAAGACTCTAGCCTGACATACCAAGAACTTTCAGGTAAGGAAGCAAACAAGAGCTCAGAGCGGTAAAGTGGGCTAAAGCCGCACACTGAGAGTGAGAGAATTGAGACTTGACCCCATTTCCCAAATGGCCTCTCTTCAGTAACATCACTCTATGCTCTCAGTGATCTGCCTGTTCCTCCGCCGTCACTATGGAAAATTTGATTAGATAAGTCTCCTAGAAGTTAATAACTAGACTTCAGAAGAAAACTCGGAGGGCTGAGGAGACGGCTTGGGTGGTAGACTGACGAGGAGCATACATAGGAAGCCCTGAGTGCAACCGCCAACTTAGCCAAAACCTTGTTCTGGCCCAGCATTCAGGAAGGGGAGGAGCGAGGATCAGAAATCCAAGGTCATCTCTAAGTACTCGGGGAGCTTGAGGTCAGACTGGGTTATTTAAGACTCTCAAAATAACAACAAAAAACTCTCTTGTGCATACCTGCCTACCTTGGCGCTCTGGGTCCCCTGCTCTTGTCCTCCGGCCCCTCCCCTCTATGAAGGGCCTAGACTCCAGGCACACCCAGAAAATTTACGGCTCTGATTCACCGAGGTTTCATCCAGTCCAGGTGCTACTCTTTAAATATCTGGCTGTTCACAGCAATGACCTCACAGGCCCACAGAAATATTCTGGTTCAAGTGTCCTGCAGAGAGATCCTGAGCTCTCTTTGCTGCCACCTGCCAAGTTGGAAGGCTACGCCTACTGTGGCCATGTTACAGAACCAGATCCTCCCTCCATCTGTTGCCAGAACTCATGCAGCGTGCCCCTCACATGCCAGTGGAGTGCCTCTGCTCAAGACCCTGCCCTGCGAGCAAGTGGCTTCTCAGAGTCATGGGACAAGTGAGCTGGGAAGGATTGTGTAGCAGCTCTGAGCAAGGCTTTCCAATCAATGAACATCGGGGGGGGGGGGGGGAGTGCAAAGAGTTCCCAGACTTCCTGGACAAGACTTTCTTAAAAACAAATTCCCAGGCCCCATCCCAGACACACTGAATCAGCATCTCCAAGAAAGAGGATGAGGAAGCTTCATTTTTTTTTTTAGCAAGATCCTAAGGGAACTGGACTTTGGAGGAAGTGTGGAAATCTCCCACTGGGAGTGATCTTGGCTAACTGACCATCAGTGGTACCTACAGAGCTTTGAAAAGCTACAGGCACCTGGGACCTAGCCTGCTGACTGCTATTCTGTAGGTCTTGGGCTCTGGGTCCCAAGATGCATATGCTATGGCTTCATACCTTCCCAGGGATTCTCGCTGGGTCGTTGCAGGAGCTGGCATGCTTACTACCTTGGCATCCTAATAAGGGTATTTGAGACTACTATCTCCTGACCATAAACTGCAGGCCTGTTTCTATTTATCGGCACAGATACTGAAAAAAGAGTTAAGTCAATTTCCAGTGTTTAAGAATTAGATGATCCTTACACAAACGTTTCAACCCCAGCCTTCCTTGAAGTCTTGTCATCTACACATATCAGACCTAAATTCCTACCTATCAAAAGTGGCTGGAGGAAAGCAGCAAGTCCGTCTTAGAGGGCTCGTGTTCCCCATCTGTCACTGTCCCCATGACTGACTATTGTTCCCAACACTCAGGCTGAGTATAGATAGGCTGCCGGTTTGCAGCGTGTGTGTATTTTCCTTCATTCAGTAAAAAACTTCATCTCTAACTAAACTGGGAAAAACAATAAACAGGCCGAGAAGGAACTGTTTATAAACAAATGTATCTCTGCATCTCTCCACCAGCCTTGTTTGCACATTTCTCTTATGAAATGCTGGGTTCACAATGCTTGGTATAGTAGCGAGGGCACAGTGCCCTCGGCTACTAACTGTTTGGAATCATTTGGTGATCCAAAACCCAGGGAAATGCAAAAAGCACTACCCTACCCTCAAAATAGAGAGGTTGGCACAAGGCATTCACAGTCCCACCTCCATTCTATGGGCACACCTACCCTGACACAGTATAGAGAATGTCCAAGCATGGGAAGGAGATGCCCCTTGCATATACTGGAATTGGCTGTGATAAAGAAATCTTCGTCAGAGACTGCCATCGAAAACCTCGGGTCCTCAGGCATGCTCAGCATGCATCTTATGAACTGAGCCATCTCCCCAGCCTTAAACAGTATCAAAAGATAAGCATGGTGAATGAAAAGATAAGTAATTTTCAGTAATGCCAACCGGAAGACCCTGGTAGCTTCCAGGGTCTTTTGGTGGCCGAAACCATCAGCACCTAGTGGCAATAAAAGATAATTCAGGTTCAAATGCACTCACTGACCTGGACCTACACAGGAGCAGAGCATCAGAGCTGAAATTCCCTTGGAATAGCAACTGGCACCAGCCAGTAGGGTGCCAGTGGCTCGTGGCCAAGTGTCCTGCCAGGTCAGAAGGTCTGTCTCATTAGGATTAAGCACCTGCCACACCACACACACTCCTGTGATTAAAAACTCTTCATATCACTGGTAGGTGACAGCTCTCACTTCAGAGTCTCTCTGCCAGAGAAATGCCAACCTTGTGCTAACCCTCATCTCCCTATCAAGAACCTAAATTACGATCCAGCCCTTCAAATGACCTGCAGCACAGAAGCTCATATACACAGCGCTCACACAGCAATGCAGAGGGAAATACAGCCTGGCAACCCTGGGGTCCATGAGAAAAAAATAATAGTACGCATTTTTCTAAAAGTGAGCCTAGGACATGCTCTTTGAGGTACCATTCAGTGGCAAGAGTTCAGGCTTAGAAAGAAAAACAAAAAGGACAAAAAAGTTCACTGGCAGAGTCAGAAATCCTGAGAGCTGAAACAGGAGGGTCCCACACTGCCTATCTAGAGGGATTCCAGAGACACACACTCTGCCTTGGTGGTGTCCCCAGATTAGTAAAGGGAGGGTGGTTGGCCTGCTGGTACTCCAGGCAACAAGTCCAAATAGCAAGTCATCAAAGCCTCACAGAATCCTATGGAGTTTGTCTAGCAGAGTAATAAAAATAATGACAATACAGCACTTACTGCCAGTAATAAGCAACTGATTTTCAGTATTTCCGTACTCATAAAAATCCTTAAAGGCGCACCTCTCCCCAACCACACACATGGCCTGTTTCTGCTCTCTCTTTCCACTGCGCTCACCAGCAGATCACACTAGTCTCTGAACCTGTTTTCTCATAGACGAGGAGTGGGCTTCCTTTCAGGTTTAATAAGAGATGATGGAAAATAAGAACGAGTAAGGCTAGGTCCTAGTAGGTGCTCACTAAATGTTTTTATACACACACGCCCTACACGCCCTGTCTGCTCTCCCCAGCCATTCTGTTCAGTGGTTTAAATGTTACTGACATTCGTGACCACAGCTTCAGTATCTTCACTAGGAAGGCAAGTAGCCTAATCCCGCCCTGAGCAGATTTTCCTCGAGGTCACTCCTGCACGCTCCATATTGGTCCAACCCACCCAGGGTTCTTCCATCCTTCCAGTCCATCCTTGCCGGCAATATCCTTGAATCCCTTACCTGCAGATATATTCCCTAATACCTGACCAGTCCCCAGTCGACTTGGAGCTTTCTTTTTAAATAAATAAATAAATAAATAAATAAATAAATAAATAAGGCCTGGGGTCTCTCACATCCCTGACTCTCATATTCCCAGGCGGGCAGCTCCGGACTCTCCAGAAGCGTGCTGCAACGCAGGTCGCCGCCAAACAAGAACCTGGACGCTAGCCAGAGGCTCGTCTGAGGCCGGCCGGCCGGGCGGGGCTGGGAGAGTTAACCCAGGGCGGAGGAAGAAGCTCCGGCTCCCCATTCTCCTCCTAGTGCCTTCAACACTTGGGGGAGGGGGAGGCAGGAAATGCAAGGGCGGCGGAGGCTAGGACCCCCGCGCCTCCAAGTTGGGAGGCGCGGCGTTGCACCCCAGTAAACCTGCGACCTGGCGTGATCCCCGACAGCGTCCCGGCCAGCTTGCTTTCCAGAAGAGTCACCCAAAGGAGATGGCGAGAAGCAGAGTCCCTCAGGATCCGTCCAGTCCCGTCAGATGAGCGCTCTCTACGAAGAGGTGCGCCGCGCAACGCTGCATGCGCGGCTGGGAAGCTGGAGTCCGACGAGTGCAAGCTCACTCCAGGGGAAAGTCCCGGACACAACTAAGTCGAGTTCTGAGGGATGGCTCCCGGTGGGTACAGCTTCGCTCATGTGTCTACCCGACCCTGGCCCGTTCCTAACCCCAGGCGGAACCCGTCTCGTGCAGGGTGCACAGAGTAGCGACTGGAGATGTGGGGAGGGTGACAGGGTCAGGCGGGTCCCAGAGGCTCAGCCACCCACCTGATGCAGGTCCCGGGACGTCGGACACCAGAGCGCACAGGATCAAGAGGAGACTCGTACCACGGTGCATGGCCAGAGTTGGGTGGCCGCCGGACGACCCCTAGCTCACGTCTTCGTCTGTCGCGTTTGCGTCCCAGCCGGGGCCGGGGTCCCACTCAGGATATGCCCGGCCGCATGCAGCTTCCAAGGTCCAGGTCCCAACTCTGGCCGGCAGGCAGCTGCACTCGCTCCTCCGGCAACAAAGACTGCTAGGACCGCCCCCTCGGCCAGCTGCCGAGGCAAAGAAAGAGAGCGAGAAGCGGAGAAAGAAAGAAAGAAAAGGAAGGAGGGAGGGGGAGCAGGGCGCCCACCCCCGCCCCGCCCGTCAAGCTCCTACCCCCGCCCCCCGCCGACCTCGCCCCGCCCCCGCCGGGCCTCTGAGCCCTGCGGGCGGGCCACCTCTAGCAGGGCCGAGCTGGGGACCGCGCCCGCAGTTCCCACCCCACCAACTTAGGCTCCCGACCTCCCACAGGGCTGCAGGCGTCCCCTGGTGGTAGAGCAAGCCCAGGCTGCTTGTACCCCCCGAGGTCCCCGAGAGAATCTGGAGTTACTGAGGTTTCTGCCTTGTCACTAATCTGTGCCTTGGGTGTGCTTCCCAGGACAAGCAGGCCTTCTGAAAAGAGAACCTGGAAACCTCCCAAGGGATCAAGATTGCACAGCGAGGAAGCAGGGCCTGGGGGTTCTAGATTTGGGTCCAAAGTCGACTCAAGAGAGAAGCCTAGGCCCTCCTAAGCTCTCCTAGACCGGACAACAGTTTCCCACTCAAGGTCTAGAGTCCTCTGATGCCTTGTCTCCAGACACTTTCCCATGTCTGTTCCCCTAGAATCAGCACGGAGTTCAGTCAATAGCCTGAAGACTCTGTTGGGCCAAGATAGTACCCCCAGACTTTCAGAAGGGGCCCTAGGAGCCTGGAGGCCAGCCAGCCCTACCTCATATCCCAAAAACCAGACCATCTCAAATGCCTGCCTTCTGTCCTTGGTGGTCCCCACCATGGCTCTGGCTTCTGCATCCCTCTTAGCCTATATACTTCCAGGAGCGACTCGGGAGAACACACCACACACACTTTTACCGCCTTCACTGTGCTTGGTTCTTCCCTGAGAGTGATGGACTTGTATTCTCCCTTGGCCACTTTGTGTAGCCCACCACAGTACACAAGGGTCGGCGCAGCTGCAGCTCCTTGGTTCTGCTTCTCCCTTGGTCACTCTGTATAGCCCACCACAGCACACAAGGGTCCACACAGCTCATTTGCAGTCTCTCACATGCCTAAGAGCTCACGTCTATCTCTCCACACAGCAGCTCTCTTGACCTCCAGGGGGACCTGTGTAGTGCGTAACCATCCACAGTCATATTCAGTGACTGCTTCAGTTCCTCCAGGTCTTGGGACCACAAGAGGCGGTGCCATCCTTTAGGGCTGAACTCCACAGAAGAGAATCCTGCTGTTCTTTAACCTTCTGCACTGTTTTTTGTTTTGTTTTCCCCTCTAGCCCCTTGTCATCTTCCTTCTCCCTACCCTCTGGCCTCTTCTGGCTCCACCTTTCATCTCTCTTGCCACCTCTGACATCTGCTAGTTTTGCTCTTCAGTGGCAAAACAACTAAGGCTACTCCATCTTCCCAAACACCCCCCACCCTGTTCAAAGGTGCCTATAACTGCCATTCAATGGCTTTCTCTTCCTCAGGATATGTAGAGTAGACACTTTGCAGTGTTGGAAAACAGCGATTTCCCTGGGCCTCTGTGACCCTCTCCCTCCTTCTTCCCCAAGGGATTCAGTCCAGAAATCCTCCTCTGTCCGTGGTTTCCAAGAGCTCCCGCCTCTCAGTTTAAAACACTCTGCTCCTGATAAAGACACTGACATGCCCCTCTGTGGACAGGTATCCCCTGTAGCTCCTACCTGCTTGTCCGCCCTCTTCTCAAGCTTCTCCAGAGGGGTCGTTTATATTTGTTCTCCTCATGGTCGACCCCCACACAAGCGTCAACGCTAGAGATCTCTACTTTGGTAAGCCACTACATCCTGGACATGCTCTTTCCTTAGGAAGCTGTTGACACCAGCTAGCGAGCGCTAAGTTTCGCTGCAGGACCAGGCGATGCAGCTGTGGCATCCGGGGCTCTGAAGAAGGCTACACCGACAAGCACGTAGGGAAATATAGAATCCGCCCCTGAGAAGCACATTGAAGAGAATACACCGTGTGAGAGCAGAGGTCTGTTATTTTCTACAAGTCGGTCATGGAAAGCTGTGAAGACAACATATCCATTCGATCTGTGTATCACAGTGACTAGACTAGACAGAGCATGAAAGGAAAAAGATGGGCACCAACTTGTCAAACCTTTGGGCCTAGCTTTTATGTCATCTTTTCCAGAAAGTTTTTACAACCCCTTTTAGGGCTCCAGGATACCTTATCCTGGCACTAATCACACGAGGGACCTGCCAGTCCCACCACTGAGCTCCTAAGGCTGACTTTACTACTTAGTCTTTGTGATCCTTGCACCGACATAGCAGAGCCTTTCCTCGCCAGCATAACCTGCCTCCCTTATTTCTTTGGACAGCCTTCAAGGCCAATAACATATTAGAGACTTGGAGGAAATGCCGCATTAAAGTTTGTATCTGCTTTCTTTGTTTGTTTCATTCTTATTTTATGTGTCTGAGTGTTTTGTCTGCATGTATGTCTACGCACCAGTGGGGTACCTGGTGCCCACAGACGCCAGAGAGAGTCAGATCTCCTGGAACTAGAGTTACAGGTGGTTGTGAGCCATCATGTGGGTACTGGGAATTGAACCTGATACCTCTGAAAGAGCAGCCTGTGGTCTTTAACCATTGAACCATCTCTTCAGCCCCCTAAAGTTTGAATTTCTTTTCAAAGTCCTTGGATGTCAATAAGTACCCTCCTGTTTCCCTCTGTGTCCCAGCTCCTAGACTGTCCATATCTTGCTGAGTGTCTTCACTGTAAACCTCCGTGGGAACTACACTGGGCACAATGGAATGCAAAAGAATGAGAAGGCTGAGTCATGCCCTAATGACAGTGATAATCCAGCCGGAAAAGCAAGCTGAGCCAACTCCAGGTGTTGGAGGGCAAAGTAGATATCAGAACAAAGCAAAAGACTTGATCATCTAACACGCTCGATGCATTGTTCAGACTCTATGCATCTATCTAGTAAATTTCCCTTTAATTCTTTCTAATTTAATTTATTTTTTGTTGTTATTCTGTGTATGTTGTGTATCTACAGGCTTGGGCATTTGAACACTTAGTCCCCAGTTGGTAGCACTGTCTTGGGAAGGTTAGGCAGTATGGCCTTGCTGGAGGAAGCACATCCCTGGGGACTAAGTGTTCATAGTCTAAGGGTTCATAATCTCACCCCACTCCCCGTTTGCTAATACTCCCACACTCTCCATCTTCCCCTGCCCTCCTCCAGTTCATGATTGCAGTTGAGGATGTGATCTCTCAGCTTCCTGCTGCAGGTGGGTATCACATGCTGCTGCAGCATGTCAAAGTCAGAGGACGACTTCTGTGGATTGGTATTCTCCTTCACTGTGGGTTCTGAGAACAGATCTTCGGATTTTGGGCTTGTGTGACAAGTGTTTAACCAGCTGAGCCATCTCCCCAACCCCTCCTTCAAGTCTTAAAAGGGGTGGTAAAGGGGTGGTTTTGTTTGTTCTCTTAAATGATTGGTGTGTTGGCTAGCCCAATGCCTTTGAAACGGCTCGGTATTGCTAAAGCATTATCAATGATTGATCAAGTTGCAAAAGAATCCTATTTATTTTGCTTCTGTACAGAAATTTGTATATTGCTAGATTGTTAAAAGGTAGAAAATTACAGTGGAGCACTATGTATTTAAAATTATGCATCAGTAAACTGAATGGGATGGCACATGCTTGTGCGGCGGTTTGAATGAGCTCATTCCCCCCCCCGCCCCCCGGTGAGTTCAGGCATTTTGAGAGTTCGACCCCATTTGGTGATGTTGTTTGGGAATGTTTATGAGCTATGGCTTTCCTGGAAGGGTTGTGTCCTTGGGGACAGGCATTGCACTTAAACATGTGATTGCTCAGCTTCCTGCTTCTGCGTCACGTCTGCCACTTGCTGTTATGCTTCCCTGCCATGATGAACTTGATCCCTCTGGAGTCAAAGGCCAGTTAAACTCTTCCTACTATAAGTTGTGCTCATCATGATGGATTAGCACAGCAGCGGAAAGTAACTAAATCGGAAGGTACTACCAGAAAGAAGACTATTGCTGTGAAAAATCTGACCATGTTGCTTTTGGGAGAAATGTGGAAGACTTTGAAATCTCAGATTTAAAAGTGGTTGGATGCTAAAAGCAGAGTTCAAAGGGCTATTCAGAAGCTATTCCTGTGCTTTTGTGGCAAAGAATCTGAAAGCCTTCTGCCAATGTCTCGAGAACTTGCCTGGGATTAAGTTTAAAAGCAATGGACTAATTTCTTTGGAGGAAATTTGAAGGCTATATAATGTTGGGTCTATGTTGTGTTTTTTTTAAATGATAATGTTTATGCAGATTTGCAATGAAAAAGAGCAATAGGGCAGAAAGAAATATAGTTGTACAGTTTTGAAAGAAAAAGAACACTGGGAAGCTTAATGTTACAGCCAAGATACACGCTGGAAGAGGCTGTGGTTATTGAAAGGATTAGTGTCATTAAGGAGCGGTCTGCTTTCCTCTGGAACAAATGAAAGGGTTTCCTCAGGGGGAAGATCCCACACAACTAAGCTTCTGAAAGTCTGGGGTGTTTTCTGCTTCTAGAAAACAGCTGAATAAGAAGAAGAAGAAGAAAAAAAACCTGGTGTTAATGTGATCCAAAAAGGTCAGAGTTCACCCTATGCTTGCGACTGAGCTTGGCAATGTCACTCACATGGTGCTGTCTTTAGAAACATGAAGGACATAAGAGTGCAGGGGTTGTGGATTCTTGCTCTGTGGTTTTAGACCCTGCTGAGGCCAGACAGTGTGTGGTAGAGCCCTTCATGAGGGGTCTCAGAGGCCAGGAGGGGCAGAGCCATCTAAGCCCTTGTACAGGGACATAGAGCTATATGATTGAGAGAGTTCCAGGCTCAGCTTTGGTCTTGCTTTGGTCAGTATTTCCTCATTATGCCCTGATTCCTTCCTTTTGGAAGGGTAATATATAGTTTTGCCACTGTTTGTTAGAGGTATGTAATTTGCATTTTGATTTTACAAGGGGTTACAATTAAGAGATTGCTCTGAGTCTCAACTAAGACTTTGTACTTTTAAACGGGGTTTTTAAAAAATGTTGAAGACTATGAGAACTTTGTAGCTGAACTAAGTATGTTTGCATTATGTAACGATGAGACCACAGGGCCAAGGAGTGGAATGTGGCGGACTGAATGAGAAATGTCCCCCATAGGCTCAGATATTTGAACACCTGTTTTCCAGTTGGTGGCCCTGTGTTGGTAGATTTAGGAGGTGTAGCTTGGAGAAAGCACGTCACTGGGGACATATGAGAGTATACAGCCTCACCCCAGTTCCAGTTCCCTCTCTCTTCGCTTCCTCATCATGCCATTGCTCACTGTTGCTGCTATGCCTCCCTGCCACGATGGACTCTTATCCCTCTGGAATCATAGCCGAAATAATTTCTCCCTTCTATAAGTTGTTTAGGTCATGGTGTTCTTATCATAGCAGCAGAAAAGTAACTGATACAGTCTGCAATACCTGCACTTGGGAGACAGAAGCAGAAAAATTGGAAGTTCAAGGTCATCCTTGGATAGCTAGCTACACAGCAAGTACTAGGCTAACTTGAGATACAAGAGACCCTGCTCAGAAAAAAAAAAAAAAAAAAAAAAAAAAAAAAAAAAGACTGGCAAGATGACTCAGAGAATAAAGTGTTTGCTGCACAAACGTGAGGCCTAAGTTTGGATCCCTAACACACACATCAAGTCATGCGGTGGTGTTTTTCCCTAGCCTTAGTACCAGATGGGAGGAGACGAAGATAGGCAGATACTTACTGGCCAGTCCATCTAGCCAAAATGACAAGCTTCTACATCACTAAGAGACCCTGCCTCAAAAATGTAAGGGGGAGAGCAATAGAGTCTGCCATCTAACGTCAACCTCTGGGCCTCCAAATGTACACGCAAAAGCAAGAGTGTACAAACATTCATGCAACACACACACCACCATCACACCCTCAAAAGGAAAAGGCAAACAAATAAATAAGAGAATAAAATAACAACTGAAAAAGATAACAATATTAAACAAAACACACAAACAGAACAACGTAGCCTCTTTGAGCCTTCATTTTCTTACCTGTCTAATAGGACAGTAATCCCCACTCCCAGGCTCCCCAGCTCTTCTAAAGCAGCTGTCCTTCGCTAGTGGTGCTTTTGACTCCATGGAAACTTTACAATGTCGGAAGACATTATTTGGTTGCCAAAACCAAGGAGTGGCGTTACTGGCATCTAGTGGTAGAGGCCAGGGGTGCTGTTGAATGACAGTCAGCAGCAACAAAAATGATCCAGTTCCAAATGTCTAATGAATGAAGGTTGAGAAATCCTGGTCTCCAGGTTAAAGAGTTTGGAGGCAATTGGCAGAGTTTTACATTTCATTTTGTATTTTGTGATAAGACAAGGAATTTCTTGAGATAAGACAGAAGAAATTTCAAACTTTACACATACTGAAAAGAAACTCTTGGGGCTGCAGAGATGATGGTCCCATAGTTAGGAGCAATTCCCACTTTTCCAGAGGACCTGAGCTTGGTTTCTGTAACTCCAGTTCCTGGGTGATACGATAGTTGGTCTCAACAGGTCTGGGGACCAGAAATATATCAACATAATTTAAAAAATAAATCCTTAATTCTAAAAAGCAATTCTTCTCTTCTTAAAGTGACCCTTCATCCCCTTTTTCCAGGGGGCATCATTAATTTAGCTTCACATTACTCCTTCCAGAAAAAAAAATTCTATTCAAGTCCAAAGATACATTTTATACAAACTGTCTGTCTGGTGTTGTTGCTGTGATAGGGTCTCACTGCATAGTTCAGCTGAGATCCTCCTGCCTCTTCTTCAGAGTGCTAGGATTCGAGGTGTATGCCACTACACTCACCCTCTGACATTTGTTTGGTTGGTTGGTTTTTTTTATTTTTTTTTTTTAAGACAAGGTTTCTCTGTGTCGCTCTGGCTGTCTGGGAACTCACTCTGTAGACCAGGTTGCCCTCAAACTCACAGAGATCCACCTGCCTCTGCCTCCCATGTACTGGGATTAAAGGCGTGCGCAACTACCACATGGCTTGTCTTTGATAAGATAGGTTTTTGGTCTGGGGAGGCTTGTCGTTCAGTAGTAGAATGCTTATCTGGCATGCATGAGAGCCCAGGTTCAATCCTTAGCAGGGTGTGTGTGTGTGTGTGTGTGTGTGTGTGACTTAGAGATTGTTTGTTTTCCTTACTTAAGGACTGCTGCAACCTTTGAGCAGTTTTGCAACTTTCCTCATGCTTACCAGACTAAGCTCCATGATAACAAACTATCATTGTTTCATTCACAATGATAATGGCTAAGTACCTAGAACAATGGCTGACTTATAGTGTGTATTAAAGAGAGATTTTCAATAAGCAGATAAATGTTGCATGATTGTCATGCCAATATGGGTGGATGCCCTAGTCCTGCC